TCCTTGTGTAATATAAGTCATTTTGTATATTTCCTGAAATATTCAGTCAGTTTAAGTGCCTTGAATTTATACATGATTTGTAATGTCTGTCTTACCTAACCTTATCTGGGATAGTGGTGAGGTTATGTGAGGTTCGACACTTGTTCGTCATTGTATGAACTCAAACAACTGTACAGATGGACTGAAAATATTAGCCAAATTACGATTTAACGTTATGCTAGACATTGGCTATAACCTGTTTATCATTTGTTGCGTAACTGCATAATTAAGGGCAAAAGAAAGAGAGAAAGAAAAGAAGACACTTATGGAAACTTCCAAGAGAGCGAAGTAAAGAGGACCACTTTTTTGTTAGAAGTCATAATTTCTTGAAGGAGATCAGTATACAGTACCGTTGCAAGTCAAGTTTTGCTTTTCTCCTCCCCCTTCTCTTTCTCCATCTCCTCCTCCTTGTTGTGTTTTTCTTCTTATCTTTGTCTCTTGTTTCCATACTCATCTTGTCTCCTCTCCTTCATTTTTAACTCTTACTTCTCCGTCTGCTCTTTCTCTTCCTCCTCTAACTCCTTCTTTTCCTCCTCCAACTCCTTCTCTTACTCCTCCAACTCCTTCTCTTACTCCTCCAACTCCTTCTCTTCCTCCTCCAACACCTTCTCTTCCTCCTCCAACTCCTTCTCTTCCTCCTCCAACTCCTTCTCTTCCTCTTCCAGCTTCTTCTACTTCTCATCCTCTCCTTCTCTAGCTTCTCATTTTTCTCATCAGTTTCCTTCTCTTTTTCCTCGTCCTTTTGTTTTTTGTTTTTCATCCTCTTATTTTTTCTGCTCTTCCTCATTTTCCTTTTCTTTCCTCCTTTTCCTTCTCCTTTCTTCCGTCTCTTCCTGATCCGCTCCCTCCTCCTCCTACTCCTCATTCTCCTCCTCTTCCTTGTCCTCCCTCACCTCCCCCTCCTCCTCCAATTCTCTTTGTGTTTTGTGATTTTCCCTTTTTGTACCTAAGTAATTTTTTTCCATCCATTAAATTCTTTGTCAGTTTTCCTGTGACCGAACAAGCTAATGTTACTCAGCTTTTATTTTATTACAGTTCTTGTTGTACAGTTTGTGTGCACGTGTTTTTGCTTGTGAGGGCATGTGTATTTGCGTCCTCATGCATGTGCTAGCATGTGTTTTTATTCGTTTTTATTTTATGAGTGTGATACCGGGACAGGCAAGAAAACTGCCCTCATCTATAAAGGCCCGGGCACGAAGAAAACATTGTTTACGTATGCATGTTTGTGCGAGCTCGTGTTTTTTTTTTCCGAGTGTGTGCTTGTATATTTGTGTGTTCGTACATGTGTTAGCTTGTGCGCATCTGCGTCTTTGCGTGTGCGTGTTAGTGAAAGCATGCGTGCTTGCGTTTGCATGTCTGTGTATACGTGCTAGTGCCGTTTTTGCGTGTGCATGCATGTTTCAATTTTTGCATGTGTCTGGATGTGTGTATGCGTGTGCTCAAATGATTTATGAAATTATTATTACTACTACTACAACTGCTACTGCTACGACTACTACTAAACACTGATATCGCAGCCAAAAAAAAAAAACTAGGGGTCATCAATGAGCACTTACACAGCTTACTAACCTAACCCTATTTTGTTCTTCTTGTTTCTATGTATCGTGATTTACACATCCTTTTGCTGGGGGGCTTGGGAGAAAATCGTGCGTAGAACGTATTTGTTTGTAACTTTACTCATTGCTTTCCATCTTTAGTTTTCTGCTAGGCTTGCCCCTATGGCTTTCAAAGTTGGAGACAATGAAGACTTTCTGGATTTTGACCGAATCCGGGCAAACGTCTACGGTGAAGCCATGGAAGCTGGAGCTAACGTCAATACAAGGAGGTGGATTGAAAACAAACTGGGTCTTAGTAAACATTGGGTTAACGACAATTAAAAGCAGGAATTTGACAACGTCCACACGACCTTTGGCTCAGCTGCATCAGAAATTCTCAGAAAAGCAAAAACATCATTGGAGAATCGTCTGAGAAGAGATGAAAAAGCATTGCAATTGTTGGGTATACCCCTCTAGATAACAGGCTGTGTGAGACGCGTGAGGTTTCCATAATAAATATTGAGGGCAAGATAGATTCTCTATTGCTTCAACAGTAATATAATAAATTGTTCTGTATTATAAAACGTTTTTCACTTCCCCCCCCCCCCAACAAAAGGTTTATGTACCACCTGTAGAAATCTTACTACCCACTACCACATGTGATTATACACATGTAAAACTGCATGAAAGTAGAATACATTATATGCTAACACTGCATAAACAAAATATTATTTCAACTTCATTTCAGTCACGTTTTCAATGTCCGTTTCCTTGATAATTTTCTTGATAATGGATTTAATTATAATTAACTGAAACCAGGCATGCCCCCTGTTCACCTTGAATCTGTAATGAGTGACTTTAATGATGGTGTGATATGAAGCACAAAGCTCTTTTAAATAGTTTTTCGATTGTCAGGATATCATAGCGGCCGTGATGGCTCAGTGGTAGAGCTCTTGCTTCGGGTAGTGATGAGTCTGACCAACGCTGGTTCGATCCCGCCGGGGGCCCTTAGTAAGTGCTTCCAGCTTAACGCCCCAGCTCTATCCGGTCTGTCCACCCCATCCGAATAGGAACTACTTGTGACACTTAAACGATAAAAAAAAATACTGTCAGAATATCACAGTATGCAGAATAAATACTTAAGTATTTTAATAAAGGGTCTGATTGCTGAAATTTTATAACTTCAAAGCTGAATACATAGAAATTTATTGTAACAAAGTTTCTGTTTGGTAAAATTTCATTGATTTAATAAATTCAGTAAGAAAAAAAAAGTATTTAACTCAGGTTCTGGTAACTAAACTTCACAACAAAAATATAATATAAAAAGCTGTTGTTTGAAAGCATCTGGTTTCTAGAACTTTATAGGAAGAATAATAAATATTTTAAAATCTCTAAATCTCTTGAAATAAATGCTCATACATGCTCTGCTTGCTGGAATACCATATCATGAGAATGAAACCTACAAAGAGCTATTGTAATAAAACTTGAAAGTTTGGTTGCTAAGTTTTCATTACATAAAAATTAAAAACTATTAAGATCAATTGCAGCATGCCTTCAGCTTGTTATCTTCATAGCTGCTACTTTATAATAACAGCTGCATTTCCCAACTTCATATAGGATCTCTGCTTTGCACTAGCCTTTTGGAGATTTTAGTTGGGTGGGATCGCGGTTTCAAAGTAGCCCCCTTGATCCTCTTGATGGATTATGACTCATTTTTACGGCCGGATGCCCTTCCTTACGCCAACACTTTTCATTTATCCGGGCTTGGAACCGGCATCACATTGAGTTGACTTATTTTCCATACCGTTGGTCTGTTGCTGATCTATTATTATTATTATTATTATTATTATTATTATTATTATTATTATTAACTAAGCAACAACCCCAGCTGGGAAAAGTCAAGCACTGTCACAGAATCTCTATATTCTTTATACATAGGCAGTTACCACCATTTCAAGGGAGGTGGCTGAGTCAAAGCAAACATCCATTCCAGGGGTCTGGTTGAAGTTTAACTACTAGAATTGTAACTCTTCTCAGGAGAAATTTACGGAGGAGGGGATTCCCAGTCTTCTCGCTCCATCCCATAGTGTAGACTTTGAAAACACCCTGGGGGGACACGGAGGTGGTATTCTTGACACTCGCCACAGAAAAGGGAATGAATATGCCGATTAAGAGAGGAAAACAGACTGAACTATGGCAGGCAGAGGTCGCTGAACTTCTGATATGCAGAAGAAATTCCCACCACAACAACTATTCTAAAAATAGCTAAAATTAATTTAAGATTTTGTGACATAACATTATAACGTATTTGTAAAGAAAAAAAATCTAATAACTTATTGCATAAGAACTTTTAAGATTTTAAGTGTAGGTTTTCGGTTTAGTGTCTCAACCAACAGGTAATACAGGATTAACTAGTGGTTACAGTTACTAAAGACTTAGGCAAAAAGTTTGGCATGATAACGGCATGGAGACACGTTAAATATTTGAGGAGAAACTGTAGTTTTTATTTGTTAATTTTATTCCCAGGTCTTCATTACTTTGTTATTTCAGCGTCTCCTTTTCTTATTGTTTCTCATTCACTAAGGTTTGCCTTGTACTTAAGCTGCTACTTTTTCTTCTAAATTTATCTTTTGGTGCCCGGTCTCGATGAGGAAATTTTTTTTTTTCGCCCCTGCGTCCCATTTTTATTATTATTATTATTATTATTATTATTATTATTATTATTATTATTATTATTATTATTTTAGTTACTAATTAGTCTCCTTTTTCATTAACTTTTGTCATGTTCATATAAGGTCGCTGTTTCTCACCAGCCTTTTGAAGACCAGTATCTATTTTTTTATTATTTGTTTCAGGATATCTTAATCGGCAGCTTTTTATATATTCATATAGGTTCGTTCATACTTTTATGGCTAGTTGCCCTCTAATTTTTTTGATTGATTTAAGCTATCGGCGAACCGTCTTCATTGGTAGCTTTTTCCATGTTAATATAGGGTCGCTGTTCCTCTCTAGCCAGTTAGAGATTAGCCTCTATATCATTTTGATCATTCGAGCAAAAAAGGATGTTTCATCAGCCGTAAAACAGCAGCCTTTTCCCCATGATTATGTAGGGTTACTGTTCCTCAATAGACTTTTTGAGACTAGCGCATTTTCTTCTTCCCTGTGTTTCCTTGGTGCCCAGGCCCGATGAAGGCAATTTTCTTTCAATGCCAATAGCTTTCCTATTTTGCTCTTTGATTATTTGAGTTGTCGGCTAAGCATCTTTATCGTCAGCTTTTCATATTTTCATATGGTGTA